GAGAGAGAGAGAGAGAGAGAGAGAGAGAGAGAGAGAGAGAGAGAGAGAGAGAGACTATCCTTGCTATTCAATCATTGTTAAGTACCCCCTAGAATGTCCTTGTCACACAACTCCCTCTTGGTCACTGTTAGAGTAAGACAAGTGTTTTGGTCAGGAAGAGTGTAAGTGTGTGTGTGAGTCTGTGTCTGTGTGTGTATGTGTGTGTCTGTGTCTGTGTATTGCGATCTAAAAAGAAAATAAATTACAAATGCAAAAAATAGCTCGCCCCATAACTAGTGGGTGAGGGACCATCATTCCTGGATCCTAAGTTCCAATAGCCAGACTGGAAGACACAATGGTGAAACCTCTTAGCCTGGGAGATGAGAGCCATGGAAAAGGGGCAACTATGTGGCCCCAAGGGAGGGGAATACTGTACCGCAAGGCCCAAGAGATGGCAGGAGCTTTGGCACTGTGGTGGAAGAATAATGGGTGGGGGGGATCATAGTATGGGGAAAAGAGCCCTGGTTCTGGCATCAGAGGAAATCTCCTGGTTCCTCTGAACTGCCTTTGAACTAAGCTCAAATCCCACTTCTGAGGCTAAGTACCTGTGTGAACTCAGGCAAATCTTTTCACCTCAATGAGCTGCAGTTTCTTCATCTTTAAAATGAGGGGTTGGCCTAATGGCCTCTGGGGTCGATTCCAGCTCCACAGCTCTCAGTCTCTGAATTCTGAAAGGTTCAGGATCCAAAAGAGAGAAGAGGGACCGTCTGGACAGCACCTCCTGGGGAGAAGTAGGAGTTGCTGAATGGCCCCCAGCTTTGTGTAGAGAAGAGAGCAAGTGTACAGCCTGGTGCCAAAGGAACAACAAGGTCTTTGGTAGCAAAAACCTGCTCCAGTATTTGGAATGTGGAGCTCTCATGAAAATAAGGTTGACTTTCTGGCAATATCAAACACCAAAATCCTTTTGGGGGTCCCTGAATTATTATACCCCAATATTACCTTGGGGTAATATAAAATGCTGAAGACTTGTGTAGCTCCCTATGAAATGCTCAGTGGAAGGAAAGGTTTAATATCAAGTCTGATTCCCTTCTAGGGTAGGAAGACCAAACCACAAAGTATAGCACTATATATCTGGAGAGGTGCATCATCCCTAGAGGAAGGTATGACTTAGAGAAGAGGAAAGGAAAATTGTCATGACTGTTTATGGACCAGCATCCATCCTTTATGTTGTTGTGTATTTTCTGCGGGTTCAAATAAAAGCTGTCCTCCATCTAAAATGTGTTGCTAGCTGAATGTTTGTGTCAGAGCTGGAGGTCTTTTACCGATATCTATAGTGATCAAGACAATATATTGCTATTCTCAGAGGAAACTCTAAGAGCATTGGTCAAATTCAGTGCTTTTTCAGATACCTCTGGAATCGAACCAAGTCTCTTTTGTAAGCCCAGAGCTTAAGCAAAAGGCTACAGCAAAATGGCAGATTCTTACACTTTAAACAGCTGCCCCTTGAAAATCAGGGAGCTAAGTCCTGGAAGTTGCCCATCGTTAAAAGGCAAGAAGAAAAGGAGAATCCAGAGAAAGGGACAAGGTGTATGAGATCCTGGAGAGAAGTTTTTTAAAAGGTCAAAATTCATGTTAAAAAATAAAATAAGGTTCCTTTTATTACATGAAGTTTAAAAACAGTGATGGGACTGGAATGTAAGTCAAAGAAATGGATGAAGGAAACACATATTTAGACTGGGGGGAAAAAACAATTAGGAGAAAACATGCTATCTCTGAATATTTGCAGGTTTGTTATGAGGAAGAGAAAGTAGTCTTATTTTGTATGTCTCTAGAGAGCGGAAAGAGGGCCAATAGGTGGAAGCTATAGGGAGACAGATTTTGGTTCAATATAGCAAAAAACCCATGAGTCCATGCTAAGCCAAAATGGAAAATACTACCTCACCTGTTTACTGCAAATGTGCAAGTGGAGAGTGGACGAGCCCACTGAAGATGCTAAATATGAAATTCCTATATGGGACAAGAGCTTGGGCTAGTTCAAGTCCCTGCATCCTATAAGATTTAGTTCTATGAGTCTATGGAATACAGTGGAAGTAGGACAGCGGTACAAACCTTGTAACAGAACGATGAAAAAGGATGAAAAAAACTATTGTAAGAAGTGGTAACTTATGTGTAATGGTCCTACCGATTTGTTTTTCTTGTGGATTGACATGTTCATTCACAAACATCTATTTCTGAAAACACACAACGTATTTCTCACCTGGATTGTCTCCAGTGAAGGCTATCACTTTACATTTGGAGTTGAACCCATAACGTTGAACATGATAAGAAGAAATAGGTCCCTGGGCAAAAAAATAAAACAAAGTCAATCCATCAATCACAGAGTATTATTGTCATAATTTTGCAGATGAATAAACAGATCAGAAAGGCTTAGTGATTAGCCCATGGTCAAAGAACTAGTAAGTTGGAGATGCTGGATTTGAACAAAGATCTCTTCTAACTATGTCTAGTTTAGTTAGTTATGTCTCTATTACATCATGTTTATTTTAAAAGAATCTCTCAATTTCATAGCTGTTATCATTTTCATCAGTATAGTCAGTGTATGTATTATTGTTCTGATTCAGATTTTAAAATTTTTAAATAATTTAATATTCCACATTTCTTTGCATTTATCATTTTTATGGTACAATAATATTTGTGATTAAAAAACACAAATCCTTTAGCCATTCTTTAGGTGCTAGACACATGGATTATTTATCCCCTCCCTCCTTTTTTTCTTTTTTCTTTTTGCTATTTTGAATGAATCTAAGAAGTGGCTATGAAAATAGAGATGAACTTGAAGTTACAAAGACCTGACTTAGAGTCCTACCTCTGATGTATGCTGGTTGTGTGACCCTGGGCAAGGCACTTAACTTCTCATTGACAGCCACCTAAAAATTCTCTAAGACTATAAGTTTCAGAGTAAATGTTGATTATGTAGAGATAAAAATTATAGATCCAGTACAAAATAATAATACTAATTTATTATGAAAATTTGAATACTGATGGGTATTTTCCTCTTTTAATAAAATCTTTAGATACAGTCCTAGTAGTGGGATCACTAGGACAAAGCTATGAATGGCATTCATTAATCAAAAGAGTTTATTTCCTACCAAATGAACCATTCTTCCTCATCCCACCCCAAATAATAGCAGCAATCATCTGGAAACCAGTTTCCTAACATCTTTTCATTACTAGTTTGTTGAGTCAGTTACAGAGATATGAAGCTATAGATATGAATATTTCATATATAATATATTTAAACAAGTAAAGAAAAACATTACTCCAATATTCCTCAACCTAAATTCTTTAAGTAAGTAAGCAACTGTGAGTTGATGGCCAAAGCAATGATTGTTACCTTCCCTAGATCATCAGCCATGAGATCCTTCAACTTGGCCAATATGCTTTGAAATTTCCCTGAGAATTTCTCTGAAATATGCTAACATCCCAAGAAAGCAAAAATTAAAAACATGCCTTTAAAAATTAATAGCATATAGCAGCAGGTGGTTACTGCTGAAAAGAAATTGAACATGTCTGAAAGCAATGTACAGAAATGAATTTTAAAATGAGGGAAAATTAAACACATACCCAGTTTTTCACGTATCAAAAAAGTAATCCACCCTTAGAGAAGATGTAGGGGTGGGGGAGGGGGACACTAGAAATTTTTTTTTAATAAAATTCAAAAAGTTTCCATATATGAGGTGTTCCTGATGGAAAAGGGTTTTTTTTAAGGGTTTGTTTCCTTTGTTGTAAGTTTTATGACTTTCTTTTTCCAATTCAAGTTGGGGCAAATCATGTGTACAAAAGGGTGCTACCAGCCTCTTTGTGATGCCCAGGCAAGCCTCCAGTCAGTAAGGCACAACTGAGACAGTTGGGAGGGGAAGATTCAGGAATGAAAGATTCACTACAGTCTACTCTGTAGAGGCAGAGTGTTGTTTGTAGTGGAACATGTACTGGAATATAAGACCAAGAGTCTTTCCCCATTAGAAAAATGCTCAAAGGGTAGGAACTAACAATTTTCAAAAGAAGAAATTCAAACTATCAATAACTATATGAAAAAATGCTCCAAATTACTTTAAAAAAAGTAAATTAAAATAACTCTGAAATTTCATTTCATACCCAACAAATTGGCAAAGATGATAAAAAAAGAAAAAAAGCATTCAATGTTAAAGGGGCTGTGGGGGACAAAAATAACAATAACCTGATAGCAGAGCTGTGAACTGGTCCAACCATTGTGAAAAACAATTTGGAATCATGCAAGAAAAATAACTAAATTGCTTACATCTTCTGTCTCAATGATATCATTAATAAACACATACCCTAAAGAAGTCAAAGACAGAGGAAAAAGTCATATCCGTCGAAATATCCACAAAAGTACTTTTTTGTGGTAGCAAAAAAAAAATTGGTTACAAAGAGGTACCTATAGATTGAGGAATAACCTAATGGAGTTGTGTAAATATAATGAAATATGATCATGCCTTGAGAAATAGCAAATTAGGAGAAAGGCAGAAAAACTCAAGAAGATTTCATGAACAGAGTGAAGAACCAAGAGAAGATATATGATTACAAAATAAAAGAAGATAACACAAAAAGATCAAATTCTAAGTTGATGTAATAAAATATCTTGATTCCAGAGGACTAAAGATGAAATATCTTCCCCTACTCTTGGTACTGAGGTGGGGGACCACAAGAAGCCTCAAAGAAACTTTTTTTAAAGTATGCTTTGGACTTATCATTTTGTAAAGCAATTTAGAACTATGTCCCTAAAGTTACCAAACTGTGCATAACCAGTAATACCACTACTAGATGTATACCCTAAAGAGTTCAAAGAAACAGGAAAAGGGCCCATTTATATAAAAACATACTATTTTCATAGTGGCAGAGAATTGGAAAACAAGGGAGTGCCCATCAAATGGGGAATGGCTGAATGAGCTATGATATATTTATTTGATAGAATACTGTAGTGCTGTAAGAAATACTGCTGCTCCTGCTGCTAATAATAGCTAGCATTTTAAAGTTTGCAAAGTAGTTTACATATGTTATTTCATTTAATCCTCACTACCTGGTGAGGTAGTTCTATTATTATCCCCATTTTATAGATAAGGAAACTGAGGTTGAACGAGGTAAAGTGATTTGCCCAGAGTTACACAGCTAGCAAGTATCAGAGGTAAGATTTGAACTCAGATCTTCCTGACTTCAAGTCCAGTGCTCTATCCCCTGCACTACCAAACAAAGGAGATGGTTTCAAAGAAATATGGGGAGACTAGTATGAACTGATGCAGAATTAGGTGAACAATTTATATAATAACGTCAGTATTATAGAGACAATTTTGAAAGACAAGAATTCTGATCGACACAATGACCAACCACAATTCCAGAGAACTTGAGATGAAACACATTGCCCACCTGCTGATAGAGAGCTGATGGACCCAGGGTACAAAATGAGACTTTTTTTTTAACATGGCCGAAATGAGAATTTATTTTGCTTGACTATACATATTTCTTAATATGGGTTTTATTTTTCTTGCTTTCTCAACTGGTGGATGGAGCGAGGAGGAATGGAGGTCAGAGAGAATGACAGGGAGAAAGTGCAGCTCTGAAAATTAAATTAAATTTAAAAATAAAAAGGAAGTCTACTTGACCTAAGATAAGGGGATATCTGGGTTCAAAATCTAGTTCTACCAATTATTCTCTATACAACATTTGTCAGGTCACTGAACTTCTCTTTTTGTTGTTGTTCATTTGTTTCAGTTGTGAGTGACTCTTCCCTACTTGTGTGACCTTGAGCAAGTCATATCTTCCCTGAACCTTAAGGGAGTTGTGTGTATGTGTACTCCGTTCAATCATTTTCAGTTATGGCTGACTCTTCATGACCCCATTTGGGATTTTCTTAGTGAAGGTACTGGAGTGGTTTGCCATTTCCTTTTCCAGTTCATTTTATAGATGAGGAAATGAAGGCTATTTACATATCTGTAAAATGGAGTTGATTACATGATCTACCTTACAGGGTTATTGTGGAGAAAGAGCTTTGTAAGTCTTAAAGAGCTATAAAAATAAGAGTTTGTGTCACAACTTTATTTTTTTCCTTTCACTATGATGTCTAACAAGGTAGCCTTGTTTCCTTTCAGCAGAAGAGCTCACTTCCCCTATTTCACTGAGAATATCAAAACTGTGATGAACTCCCTCTTTCCCCCTATTCCACAACAAAAACCCCTTCAATACTCTCTTCATTTGATCTAATTTCTGAAGAGGAAATGGACCTTCTCCATGCCAAGACCAGTCCTTTGTGCCCTGAATCTCATCTTTTTTCATCTTTTCCAAGAGTTTGCTCTTGATAATCATCCTGTCCCCCACCCCCTTTCATCTTCAACTTTTCCTTATCTATTGGCTCCTTCTCTGCTACCCACAAATAAGCCCAAATGTCTCCATGCATTTATACACAGACATATGTATGTATGTCCTAAGTATGTATGTATGTATGTAAAATACCCCTTCTGGGATAACCACCTCCAACTTCACTCACCTTTGCCAGCTGGGTTCTCATAAGGTAGATAGGTTCTAGTGTACCTCGTGGGTTGCCACTCCTAAAACTAGATAGCTCAGGATACCCCAGCAATGTACTTTCTATTAACAGTCAATTAATGTAACTAGTCTGTCCTAAAATGGCATAGAAAGAATAAAAAAAGTATTTCCCCTCCCCCATAAACCTGGGGCGTATTCTTCTACAGACACCAAAAAAAGCATCTGTGGGAAGAATGGGCACAAACTAAGAGCACAATTGTAGCAAAACAAATATGTAGGGAACCCCCAAGATGACTTATAACTCCAGTATTGCCAGCCCTTGGTGTCTTTCTCTCATAGAGTCCTCTCTGTAGTCCCACTCTCAATTGCTAAGGCTAGGTCTCTTTTGAGTCCAGACCTGGCTCACTTCTCTTTGAATTGATAAATCTGACTTTTCTCAGTCCTCATCCTTCTTAACTATAGTTTCTGACACTGTTGAGCATACAACTGGATACCCTTAGGTTCTATGACCCTGCTCTTTTCTTGGTTTTTTTCATACTGATTTGACTGCCCATTCTCAGGCTTCTGTGTTGGATCATCAGCTAATCTTCCTAATTATCACCTCCATCATCACCTCCTACTCATGAGTATTACACACAGCTTTACCCTGGGTTCTCTTTCTCCTCTTTTTATACCCTATCTCTTGATATCATTAGTTCCCATGGATTCAATGATCATCTCTATGTAGATAACTTGAGCATCCTTCTATCCAGCTCTACTCTTTCTCCCTGGAACTCCAGTA